ATATTCCCCCTCAGAGAGCTGGTGTCAAACATTTATGAGTATAGCATTGTAGTGGCACCAACTTCTTCTCTCCCCTTGCAATCTTCTATTTTTGGTACCAGGACAAGAAACATCCACTCAAAGATTTCTTCAGGTTGCATGAAGTTGAGGAGGGGTGAGATAATAATTATCCCTCTATGACTGGACAGCTACCAGGTTCTTTCACTTTGGTGTTTATACAAGGAGCAAGCCAAAAAGGTAAGTCAGTTCCCCCATGTCTTTTAAACTCTCAAGACACACACTAGTGCAATCCTCCCATGATTGGGGTTAAATTTCCTGGTGCTTCTCTTAACATGAGGTAGGAGTCCTGCTCCTCACTGGTGTTTTTCCCAAAGCTGTTACATCAGAGGCAGAAGTTTACAATTTAGTGGCTAATTTCTTCTTTTTTTTTTAGATGTATGTATTTTTATATTTTATTTAATTATTTGAGAAGAGAGAGTGAGAGCGAGCACAAGATGGGGGAAGGTCAGAGGGAGAAGTAGACTCCCTGCTGAGCAGGGAGCCTGATGAGGGATTCGATCCCAGGACTCCAGGATCATGACCTGAGCTGAAGGCAGTCGCTTAACCAACTGAGCTACCCAGGCGCCCCTTGGCTAATTTCTTCTTAAGACTTGATCATTAGAAGAGATCATTATTTTTTATTGATACAAAGTCTATAATACTGGTAATTCAAATATTCAAACAATCTTCAAGGTCATTATTTTTCCTTTATCACAGTACTCTGGTTTTTTTTTTTTTAAAGATTTTTATTTGTCAGAGAGAGAGAGCACACAAGCAGAGGCAGCGGCAGGCAGAGGGAGAAGCAGGCCCCCCACCAAGCAAGAAGCCAGATGTGGGACTCGATCCCAGGACCCCAGATCATGACCTGAGCCAAAGGCAGACACTTTACTGAGCCACCCAAGCGTCCCAGTACTTTGTTCTTGACATTTTTTCTCCTTCCCTTGTAAAAGGTTAATGTCCATCAGTAGAGCACCAGTTAATCTATGAAACTTGCATATGATGTAGTGTTTTGCAGCCATTAAGGGAATAAGGCAACTTTATATATACTGATATGGAATGATTACTGAGAGCTATAAAGTTAGAAAAATATAAAGAACCGTATATATAAATTGCTATCACTTGGATAAAAAGTATATTAAAAAAGAATATATACTCATATATGGTTGAACATGCCCAGAAAATTTCTGGAAGGATAAAAATGTGGTTGCCCTAGGAGGGGTAGGGCATTGGTAATGGTGGTGAAAAAGGACTTATTTTTCACAGTATACTTTTTGTACTGTTTAAATTATTTACCATGAACTGTATTTCTTTTAAATAAATTTTAAAATAAAAAGTGTGAAAGAAATTTCCTACATATGGCTCTACAAATATTTGCTGAGAAGTAGCTATGTACAAGATAAACTTTTGGAAGAATCATTATTAGCTCTAAAAGTGGTCTGTCCAAAGTTGTGAACATGTGGTCAGGGTTGTATTGGACATACTGTTTACTTCTTGAGTTAAAGATATATATTTGAAGAAATAAAGGCTGGAAGATTTCCAAATATAGTAAAAACTATAAACCTACATCTACACAAACAGTAAGTAATTACTAGAAATTGTAAATACGTAAGCAAAAATGTTAAATATGTATACATATAATTTTTAAAGTTCTTTAACAATTGACTATTTAAAAATTGTAACAATGTAATATGTAACATTAGATTTAAAACATATGTATAAGTAAAATATATGACAAGAATGGCACAGAGGATGAGAGGAGAAAATAAGATGTAGTATTGCAAGGCTCTTATATTATACACGAGGTGGTAAAATACTATTCGAAGTTAGACTGTAATAAGTTAAAAGATGTCTATTGTAAATCCTAGAGTAGAGGAACCATTAAAAAAATTAAACAGAGGGGGCGCCTGGGTGGCTCAGCTGTTAAGCATCTGCCTTGGGCTCAGGTCATGATCCCAGGGTCCTGGGATCGAGCTGCACATCGGGCTCCCTGCTTGGCGGAAGGCCTGCTTCTCCCTCTCCCACTCACCCTGCTTGTGTTCCTGCTCTCGCTAACTCTGTCAAATAAATAAACAAAATCTTTAAAAAAAAATTTTTTTTTTAACAGAGATGTATAGCTAATAAATCGAGTGAAGATAAAATAGAACACTGAAAAATTCACAATTAATCCAAAAGAAGGTAAGAGGAAAAATGGAACAAAGAACAGATGGGAAACAGAAAATAACAAGATAGAGAAGATTTAAACCCAACCTTATAGATAATTACACTAAATATAAATGGCCTAAACAGTCCAATTAAAAATGAGATGTTGCCAATCTGTATAAAAAGCAAGGCACAACTATATGCTATCTACAAGAAATCCACAATATACAAAGATGCATAAGTTAAAGAGACAGAGTAAGATAAACTTTGCAGCCACTAATCGTAAGTCAGCTAGAGTGGCTATATTAATATCATACAAAGAAGACTTCATGGCAAGGAATAATACAAGTGATGAAGAAGTACATTTTTTTCTGAAGACTATTACTATTTATTATTTATTTTGAGAGAGAAAGAGAGTGTGTGCATGCAAGCAGGGGGAGGAGCAGAGGGAGAAAGAAAATCTTTTTTTTTTTTAAGATTTATTTATTTGACAGAGAGACAGAGGGGGCGAGCACAAGTAGGCAGAGCAGCAGGCAGAGGGAGAGGGAGAAGCAGGCTCCCCACCGAGCAGAGAGCCCGATCTGGGGCTCTATCCCAGGACCGCAGGATCATGACCTGAGTTGAAGGCAGATGCCCAACTGACTGAGCCACCCTGGCTCCCTGGGAGAGAGAAAATCTTAAGCAGACTCCACGCTGAGCTCAGGGACCTATGTGGGGCTCAATCCCAAGACCCTAAGATCGTGACCAGAACTGAAATCAAGAATTGCACACTTAACTGACTGAGCCACCCAAGCACCCCAAAGAGGGACACTTTTTAAATTCAATTAATTAACATATAGTGTATTATTAGTTTCAGAGGTAGAGTTCAGTGATTCATCAGTCTTTCCTGACACCCAGGGCTCATTACATCATGTGCCTCCTTAATGCCCGTCACCCAGTTACCCCATCGCCCCACCCTCCTCCCCTCCAGCAACCCTCAGTTTGTTTCCTATGATTAAGAGACTCTTATGATTTGTCTCCCCAAAAGAGGGACATTTTTAAAAGATAAGGAGGTCAATTTAAGAAGACATAACAATCCTAAATGTATATGTATCCAATAACAGAGTTTCAAAAAACATGAAATGAAAACTGATGAAACTAAAAGGAAAAATAGACAAATAGATAATTAGAGTTGGATATCTTATCCTTTCTCTCTCAGAAATTCATAGAACAAGTAAATAGGAAATTAGTAAGGATACAGAAGACTTAATAACTACGAACTAAATTTATGTAATTTTTTTTTTTTTTTTTTTTTGAGAAAGAGCGTGCACGCAAACTGTGGGGAGAGGAGCAGAGGGAGAGAGAGAGAGAATCTTAGGCAGGCTCCTTGCTCAGCACAGAGCCCAATGCAGGGCTCGATCTCACGATCCAGAGATCATGACCTGAGCCAAAATCAAGAGTCAGACGCTCAAGCAACTGAGCCACCCATGTGCCCCACTCTATGTAATTTTTGTAAAAAATTTTTTTGTATTTTGCATACTTTCTATAAAAAATATTTTGTACACTTTTCTGTAAAACACAGAACACTCAGAACCCACAGAATCCACATTCTCTTCAAGTGCACATTGAACATTCACTAAGATATACCATGTGCTGAGCCATTAATAAATTTCCACTAATTAAAATTATACAGGGTATGTCCCCTGACCATAATCAATGAAATTAGGAGCAATGAAATCAATGAAAGAAAAATATTTGGAAAATATCAAGGGATTTGGAAATTAAACAACCTACTTCTAAAGTTAAATTTATTTTATTTTATTTTTTATTTTTTTTAACTTAAATTTTTTTTAAAAGAACAGTTAAATTTGTAAAAATTGAGAAACCTATAGTTAGTGAGATCTAGAAATGATATTGTCTAAGTTACTGAGTTTCCTTCTGTTTCCTCTGTAGTAAAATGAAAAGATCTATGCTGTCCAATACAGTAGCCACTAGCCACGGGACTACTAAGCACCTGAAATGTGGCTAATCCAAATGAGATATGTTCTAAGTGTAAAATGCCAATACAAATAAATACTTAGTACCAAAAAATGTAAAATATCTATATATCTCATAAATAACTTCTTAGGTTGATTACATGTAGAAATAATATTTTTAGTGTATTGAGTTAAAGGTGTTTAAAATATCTTTTCCTGTTTCTTTTTAATGTAACCATTAGAAAAATTTAAATTACATATGTGGCTTGCATTATATTTTTATTGGACGGTGTTAAGACTAGATCAAATCTTCCAGGCCTTAATATTCTGATATCTATCATAAGCTTTAGAGGCAGGGCCCTTCAAATCTGGAAAGCATTACACCGCATGTAGTTAGTGTTTCTTTCTTCCTTAGATTCCACTAGATGGCACTAGAGCTAAGGCCTCAAGCTAGTACTTGCAGCTTTCTAAATATGCTGTGCTTGGGCTCCTCTCCACGTCCTTGCTCACAGTTCCCTCCAGTAGGGAACTCTTTCCGAACGTGGTTACCTGTTCATTTTTTAAAATTCAGATCCTCTAAGAAGCTTTCCTTTTACCATCTGCCTCCTGCCAGCAGATAACTTTATATACCCATGTCCTATACACGTTTCTATCACAGAACCATGAAACATTATTGGTTTGTTTACATGTCCCCCCCCCCCAACCCCCCGCACACTGTCTAATGCATGTTATCTGAGGTAAGTAGTAATGAAATCTTAGTCAATGCGCAGTAGCCGCTAGGTGCTGAAGGCAATGTATCAGTCAGAATAGGCCAAGTTATGCTACAGGAACTTAACACAACAGAGGTTTCTTTCGTATTTACGCTACATGTTCATGAGGGATCAGTCAACGGCTCCACTCCATGGCATCCTCACTCCAAGACCTACATTAATGGAAGAGTTCCATTTGGAGCATTGCTGGTCACTGTAGTGGAGGGAAAAAGAAGGTGAAAGGTTTGGAGGTTTTTGAACCAGTGCTCCAATCTAGAATCTAGGTGTTCCAATCTAGAACTGACACAAGTTACTTCTACTCACAACTCATTGGCCAGAACTAATAGAACTAATTCATGGCCTTGTTCAACCACAAAGGTGTCAGGAAGTGCACTTCTATTATGTGCTTGAAAGGCAAGGGCAGAAATATTTGGAGACCACTATGATCCTTCTAGTCAATAACCATTTAGCTCACCGTCCCTCCTGCAGCTCACTACCCCTTTGCATTCACCATACCTCTCCAAAGAAGACAACTCAGTAATTCCCTTCAGCTACAACATCAAGTTCAAATTCAAGAATCTCCGAGTGAGGGGCGCCTGGCTGGCTCAGTTGGTTAAGCGTCTGCCTTCGGCTCAGGTCATGATCTCCAGGGTCCTGGGATCGAGCCCCACGTCGGGCTCTCTGCTCAGCCGGGAGCCTGCTTCTCCCTCTCCCACTCCTCCTGCTTGTGCTCTCTCTCTCTCTCTTTCAAATAAATAAATAAAATCTTTAAAAAAAAAAAGAATCTCCAAGTGATGCATAATAGTCTCTACACCACTTTCCGAAGTGGCTTGAGGTGGAGAACTCTAAACTAAAAAGACAAGCCCCCACCCATCTAATAAATATTGGTGGAACAAGGACAAGACGAATGCACTAAGGGAAAAGGGGAGGAACAAGAAACAGTAGCCTAGGAATCACCATGTGCCACTGAGCAGATGGGAAGAAGGCCCCTTACCCTGCGGGAAGGGAATATTCCCTGAGTAGGCCCTAATTTTGCTAATTTAGCTAATTTGCTAATTTTCCTAATTTAGCACAGCCTTAGGCAACTGTTCTGTTTTAAGCTACTGAGAATTCAGAGTTGTTGCTGCAGGAGAACCTAATCTAATGTGTCCTTGACTGATAAGGAGATAGGACTGTAGAGGTGGGTGATGCATATGTATTTAAAACAAAAAACTTCAGAATGTGTGACATTAACTTACTTGGAGGGCAGGCAGCAAAGCGATCTTATTGAAAGATGGGAAGAGGGCAACTCGTCATAAATAGCAAAGTATTTGGTAAAACTGTTGCCTGCAGTAACTTGGAAGACATACTTGATCTAAGAAGTTAAGAGAAAGTCAGAGGAAAGAATTTTAGCAGCCTGAATTGGATACTGTTGGTTGCCATTGACGAAGTCCAAGATTAGCTCAGACAAGAACTGAACTGGCCAGCTCTCAAGCAGGCACAAGGGCTGTAAAGAGAAATCAGTGGGTTTGCAGGGTTCACAAAGGCAACTACTTCTCATCCCTAACTGGTTAACAGATAAAACTGAGAAATGTTTGCAATGACAAATGCCGTTTTGAACTCAGCTTTGTAGGTAGGATGACTGCTGGCCTGTCTTGGTTCACCCAGACCTGTCCCAGTTTTAGCACTGAAAAGTACTGCATCCCAGAAAATCCCTTTGCCAGGCAAACGGGGACAGCAGGTCACCCTATTCATAGGAAAGAGGAAAACAGTGGTATGGCCATTACATCTGTTGTTAAAATCTCCAAGTAGATTAAATTGTCTTAGAGTGAAGACCTCACAAATGTTCTGGAACCCTGTAAGCCATTTCAATTAAACCATCTGGGGAAAGGGCCTTAAGGTGCAGCTCTCCCACTTCAAGTTAACACCCCAAACGAGGTGAAGTGTGAGAATGAGAAAACATATCAAATTTAAGTAGTATGTTCTAGGATAGCTACTGGCATGAAGTGCCTGAAATCCGAGATAAAAAGCCAACTGTATTTTTCATTGTACTGTGCTGAGATGAGCCACATTACCCCTGCCATCCACAGAGATCAGGGAGCCGGACTGTACATGCCCAGAAGGTGGGAAGCTGGAAATACTTGCTAAACAGCACTAGTGACTACCACAGTGCAATAAATAGAAGTGATGCCCAAACCACCGTCTTTTAGAGTAGTTGGCACTTAGGCTCAAGAACTCAGGAAGCCAAAATGGCTTAGTAGAGGCACCATACCATTTGTACCCTTTGGCAAAAGTAAACCCAATTCCCCATACATAAAATGACACACATCAAGAGTGTGTGAACCGATACATTACCATGGGCAGAGGAGTGAATGCACTTGAACATGGAGTAGGGGATGGAGGAGTAGTGGATATGGGCAAGGGAAAAAAAAAAGCCCAAACCCTCCATTTCTGTGTAAAAGCCAAGCTACAAAGATCTGGGAGTGATCAGAGACAACTGTCAAGTGGGACATTTTACCAGCTGACCTGGAGAACAATCAAAACTGAGCACTCATTCTGATGGATAACAGCAGTACAGAGGAAAAAAAGCCTACTGGACTGATAGTTCTCTTTCCCCCGGAAACTGAAGGTGGGGGTGCTAGAAGAAAATTATTTTTCTTTTGAAATGGAGAGTCAAGAGAGGACTAGAATATTCTTGGCCCAGGCTCAGAAAACTGGTGGATTTAGGGCAGACCCAACTGCCCTTGCCTCCAAATTCAGATTTATTTACATTATGTTTTATTTTTTATTGTTTTTTAAGTAGGTTCTATGCCCGGTGTGGAGCCCAATGAGGGCCTTGAATTCACGACCTTGAGATCAAGATTCAGTCAGTTTAAGACTAAGCCACCTGGGTGCCCCTACATGATGTTTTAAACGAAGTGTTTTAAGTACTTTTCTGCTCCTGAGTTTTTAAGATGTCAAACCCCAAATCTAGGATTAAGACCCTTCCTATCACTAATTTCAAGGGCAGAGGTCAATATGACACATACTAGAAATATATATTCAATTTTTATTTCATTAGAAAATTTCACTTAAGCCACATGGTGGCCATAATGGCATCTTGAGTGGGCTTTGTCATCCCACTGCCCCCTTCTGATCAATATACATGCATACATGCTGTGTTGGAGAAAGTACTTTACCATGTGAAACAATGAGAGGTGGACACTTGACTATTTCATCATCCCCCTCCCTACAGCCAACCCATACACCACACTTCAACTACTGTCCACACACAGACAAGCTCTCATGGGAGAGAAGCTGACCTCCACATAAACTGACCACAAGACACCCAAGCCCCAAGGAACTCTTGGCAGATGTTGACGACGCAGAGATGAAAACGACACCATCTCCCAACTGCTGAATATGAAGCGCAAGTCCCTATCTAAGAGGCATCAGAGCCATGTTGCCAAGGACACCAGAGCGTACAGCAGACCCTGGGGAGAGTAGTGACATCATTCCATCGCAGTCGTAGGCAATCCATTCACACCTATATATTAGGCCTTTTTTCCAGGGCAAGGAACATCCAGATGGAGAGGCCCTTCAAGAGCCTGTTAACAGTTCTGGTAACACTGATGTTCTGAGCTTTCCTGCCCAGCAACTAGACAACTGCCTGGATGTGTTTAGGCCAGTGTTCCAAGATTACAGCTGGTGGAGAGAGGTCTTATCACACCCCTCTGGATGGATTGTCTGGAACGCCCTTGGGGGCTCTGTGCTGGCTGGTTGACCTCTGGTGGTCCAGGAGCTCCTAGGCAATGGGCTCTCCAGTATGCCTCCCAGGGACTCCATTAGTCTAACGAAGATGGAGAGCAGGGTCAGCACCACACCTAAGAGATAGAGGTTCAACACAGGCTTCATGGCTGAAATGACCCCACTCCTCTGTAGAGCAGTAGAGCTGTCTTCACTTCTCGAAGGCCTCTGGATACTGAGGAAAGAGAGGTGAGATTAATCTACAGCCTTTTGGGATATGCATGCATCCAGGCCTGACTTCTGTCTTCCCATGGAACTAAGGGTGAGGCTCAGCCAGTCAGGGAGACAGGGACCAGTAGAAGCATATTTACACTGTAAACTCTATGGCTGCAGAGCTAGTCTTGCTTCTTGGACTAATTCAAGAGCACTCCTTAAAACTTTTACTTCTTCTAAAGTAAACCTTTTACTTCTGCCAGGTGCAGTGCACAATCCCCGTGCCACAGTCCAGGGACCAAAACCCTTCCTGAACGGAGTCTTTCTGTTTTTGAGGGGGAAGGTAGGCACATGCCCCTAAGAAAGCCACCTGCCTAGAGGTTCTCCTCACATTTGTCAGGTTCCAGTTAATCGTAAACTTTTTTTTTTTTTAAAGATTTTATTTATTTTGAGAGAGAGAGAATGAGAGAGAAAGAACACATGAGGGGATAGGGTCAGAGGGCGAAGCAGACTCCCCGCCAAGCAGGGAGCCCGATGCGGGACTCGATCCAGGGACTCCAGGATCATGACCTGAGCCGAAGGCAGTCGCTTAACCAACTGAGTCACCCAGGCGCCCCAATCGTAAACTTTTTGATAAAGCCAAAATAATTCCAAGACAGTCAAATCTATCAAGTTCACTTATTTAACAAATACACCCGGAATACCTACGATGTGTTAGGCACCCAGGAAGGTACTAGGGCCATACGGGGTCCGGTAGACATGAACCCTGCCCTCATGGGGCTTTCGATCTAGGCAAGAAATTAGGCAGTTAGCACACACACAACACGCCAAGTGCTGTGACAGAAAGGGTGTTCTGGGAGGGCAAGACTGGGACGCCCAACCCAGCACTTGAGAGCATGGGGAGAGCCACATGGAACACAGGGTCATCCCTGAAAACAGGGCTGGAGCGGCTGACTCCGGACCCAGGTGGAGACGGAGCGAGGAGCAAGAGTCCGGGAGGCGCGGCCCGAGCTCGGGAACCCGAGGCGGCCCGCGGGGCAACGCAGCCTGGGGAATGGGCGCGGAAAGGTGGGGAAGCCCACAGGGCCGCTCACCTCCAGGAGGAAGAGCCAGGAGCGGTCCGCTCGCTGTAACAGAGAGTAGTGCAGGAGTCCGAAGAGTCAGCTCCCGATTAGTGATAAACCGCAGCCCAGACGATTCTCTGAGTATAACGGCGGAACCCTCGGGAAAGAGGAGCAGAACGACGTTGCCCACGCCGCCCACTTATAGCCCCGGCCCCGCCCCAGAGTCGCGCACGCGCACTCGGGCCGCACGTACCGGGCCGGACGCACGTCCGCGGCCCCGCCCCCAGGCGGGGGAGGTCCGAGGTCTGGGCCACTGCGCTGCGCTGCGCTGCCAGTCTGACCTGTTTCCAGGAAGTACACACCTTGGGGCTCTGAGTCACTGAGGTCGGCAGTAGGACTAGCGTATGTGTTAACATAGACTGCCTCTTTCTGCTGCAGGAAACTGGAGGGAATCAGCACATTTACCCCCATACCAAGTGGATTGGAGACACACTTGAAGTGTCCAAATCCAAAAGCCCTCAGGTCAGAG